ATGGGCACTTGATAATTGTTTTCGCCACAGATTCGGATTACTCGCACGTATAGACTACCGTCATCCTCCGGTGACCAAGAGAGAATTTGAGCTTTTTGATGCTAGCGAATCACGATATAATCAACATAAAAGATCTATCTTGCTAGGCTTATTGAGCTACATCAATGGAGGAACTGTCTTGTTGCCCATCACCAACAAAGCTTTGATCAAACAAGCCTTTACTTCCATCTATGTATATAGCAAGCTCATTTTAAGTCATGCAAATATTTTGTATTTTATAACCTTTGGTTATTGGTTATGCATCTGATGGAGTTTCTATTAAGTAATGAGTTACGTTCAAATAAAAGCTTTAAGAGTTTAGTTGATTCACGGGTTTCACCTAATTTTATTGTTAGATGTTAATAAAAAATTGAATAAATGACCCGAACAATTTAGATCATCGATGTAAAATTCAATATTAATTAGGGAGAAAAATTGTTTTACAGGATGTTCGAATTAATGTCTTGTACCTTTATACTATATTAAATCACTAATTACCACAAATTCGATGGGACGAAAAGATAAAATGAGCTGGAAAATAAAATAAATTAGTTCTAAATTAATTTGAAAACATAAAGTTTTGCTTTATAAATTTGGGAACTATATAGGTGTTATTTATAATAATTTTTTAAAATAAAGTAGTGAGCTTTTTTATGTTCTTCATTCGTTATTATTATTATTTATTTATTAAAAAAATAGCTTTCGACTTTTTTTTTTAATGCAAAAGAAATGTCTCTGCACTCTCACATGGTTTGTTTCTTTCCACGTGTCACGATTCCAACTTTAAGAGCAATTTTCCATTTTTTAAATTTTTTTTAAAGGTTTTATAAATGAGATTGTAATACTCCTTAATTATGATTTATAATTAGTCGTTAATATTGTCTATTTAGACCTGTTATGTATCATCGTCGATTTCACAATTTTAAAGAGAGATTTTCACTCTTATAAGAAATGTTTCGTTCTCCTCTCCAATTTATGTGGGATATCACATGCATATTATCACTGTATAATACGTGTATATATATAAAAATATATATAATTTTTAAGGAATAAAAATGTAATATAAAACCCTACCAACTTTTATTTATCAATTATTATTTTATATGATATAGAATATTAGAAGATTTGGCCCATGTGACTATGATCTCAATAATAGACACCAACCAAACCTTGGCCCAAGGCCTTGAGTCATTTGAATATTTGTTTTGATTAATATTTTTTTTATAAAGCCGATTAATTTAGGTCGATCAATTATGATACAAACGTCACGAAACAAAAGGATTAACGTTTTTTTTATTTAGTTTAACGAATATAAAATGAAATCTTAATATTAATATTGATCAACAATTTACTTATAATAAAAATAAATAATTGGGGTGAGACGAGGATAAGAATTATATTTTTCGTCCTCATTCCCGTTTAACCAACGGAAAAAACTCCTAGCTCTTTCCTCCGTTTCCCATTTAAATAGAGATTCTCAATTCAGTGAATCGAGAAAACTCGATCAATCCAATCCAACCCTCACGTATATATTTATTTTAATTTATAATTATTTTATTTTCTATATTTTAAATATATGCCTAGACAATTAAATATATCCTGCAAATTATATGATAATTTAATGGTAAATTAAATGTTTTTAGATTTTTTTTAGTTACTATTTTAATTCAAAAAGACATAAAAAATTGAACCTATAATTATAGGTTTTTAATCTTTGACTGAAAAACCTAATTATTAATTGTAAATAAATAATTTAATTAAAAAATTAAAGTACCGTAGTTATGAGCATTCAATAATAAACGTATCCCGAAGAAGAAATCAAGATTTGGCATTTATTTTAATTAGATGCGGCATGCCTATTTTAAATTTGGTGAGCTCAAATCATCACTACTAAAATCAATAATTCAATAAAAAGCTGACATTATCTCGGTTTTGATCAAGTGTTTTTCTCACACAATTCTTCGGTGCACTTGATTCGATCAAAAGGCCGAGCTCTCTTCTCCAAAATCATATGGCTCAGATTCAACCTCAGGTAACGGACCAGATTCAATCAATGTTCATTATCATGGCTGAGGATGTACCACATGGCACAATCTAGACCGTCTCAAGGTTCGATCAACGATCGGCCATTTTACACCGTACGATTATTTTTCACCACCATCTGACGGCCAATTCCAATTGTGAAACTAATATTTAAATTACTGCCCGGGTTTGCTTTTGTGCCTTGCCCGTACCTCATTATTAGTTACATTCTCTGTTCTCCCCTAGCTGCCCGTCGTAGGAGTGACTGACCGGCCAGTATTAAATTTTGGCCCATTTTTCTTCCCAAAAATAGTACTCGTAATGATTACCAAGGGGCGGCTTTGGTTATTATAACAAATATGTAATTTTAAATGAAGAAATAATTTCAATTATTTTTAATAAACAATCTCACTTCTTCGGAATAAAAAATAAATAAAAGTTTTCCCACATTTAAAAAAAAATATTTTATGGTTCGTTTGGGATCTTTTAACATTCTTTTTGTTAGTAATTACGACTCTTCACAATACTATGATATTGTCCATTTTGAACATAAGCTCTCATGGCTTTGCTTCGGGTTTCCCCAAAAGGCCTCGTACCAATACCAATGGAGTGTTGATGATTGTTGGGAGTGAGTCTCACATTGGTTCATTTAGGGAATGATCATGAGTTTATAAGTAAATGAATACATCTCTATTAGTATGAGGCATTTTAGGGAAGCCCAAAACATGCTCAAAGTGGACAATATTAATATCATACCATTGCGGAGAGTCGTAATTCCTAACATGGTATCAGAGCCATCCCCTAAACTTAGTCATGACAATAGAATCTTCAAATATCGAACAAAGATTGTGAGCCTCGAAAGTGTAGTAAAAAAGTGACTAAAGTGTCGAAAAATGGTGTACTTTGTTCGAGGGCTCTAGAGAAAGGAGTCGAGTCTCGATTAATGGGAGGCTTATAGTGTACTTTGTTCGAGGGGAGGATTGTGAGTCCCACATTGGTTAATTTAGTGGAAGATCACGAGTTTATAAGTGAAAAATACAAATAAGTAAAGGAATACATCTCCTTGGATATGAGGCTTTTTAGGGAAGTCTACCAGATTTATAATCTTCCGCTGCACTTTTTATTTTAATTTCAATAAAATAAAAAATAATTTCAACTATTTATGAGTAAATATATTAAATTAAAGTTGTTGAGTGGAAGTAATCCTTAGCCTCTGATTTTGAGTTAAAAATAAAAAATAAAAAATTATGATTTACTGGCCAGACTTGGAGCCTGAATTTATTTATTTTAACTTGTTTCTTTTGTATGCATGTGGAAAAAGAAAGACTATGAATCTTACACACATAAATAATTATGATGATATTGACCACCATGCCCCTGGAAGGTGACTTTTCATCCCGCCACCACCTGATTCACCCTTTACAAAAGCTGCTCCTACTTAACCTGTGGATAAAACAAACCCTACTTTTAACTCCAAACTTGAGGCTATTTTCGTCTTTTCCCCTCTTTTTTTTCCCACATATTTCAAATTCAAGTTTTTTTTTTTTTTTTTTTTTAAAAAAAATGTTTCCATATATGTCTTAACTTTGAGACATAATATTTAAATAAAAATTATATAAAAAAAAATGTTTATTTTGTTTTTTAATGGTGTGAAATTTCAATTTTAGCCCTTCTCTAACTTCCATGCATTTATATCTTTATTGTGAAAGTAGTAATATGGCATAATAAATGTACGACACCATGTTTACAATATCTTAAAGAAACGAGAAGAGGATCAAAAATGAAATTTTGTACAAGTTGAGGGGTCAACATCAAGAGCTTTAAAATTTTAGGGATTGACAAGAAAATAGAAATTTAAGGTAGGTATAAAAAATCAATACCATTTGAACCGGTATATATTATATATACCGTAACAACTTCTAATATTGTCAGCTTTGACTTGTTACGTATCATTGTCAACTCTATCGTTAGCAAATATTGTTCGCGTTGACTCATTATACATCATCTTTGACTCACGGTTTTAATGTTTGAGGGCTCCATAGACCTCAGGGGAGGCTCTATAATAGTGTACTTTGTTCGAGGGGAGGATTGTTGGGAGAGAGTCCCACATTGACTAATTTAGGGGATGATCACAGACATGAGTAAGGAAATGCAACTCCATTGGTATGATGCCTTTTGGGGAAGCCCAAAGCAAAACCATGAAAACTTAGGCTCAAAGTGGACGATATCATACCATTGCGGAGATCCAGAAATTCGTAACATGGTATCAGAGCCCTGCCCTTAACTGAGATTCCTAACATGGTATCAGAGTCATGTTCTTAACTTAGCCATGTCAAAGGCTCAAAGTAGAAAATATCATATCATTGTGGAGATCCGAGATTCTTAACATATTATCAGAGCCATGCCCTTAACTTAGCCATGTCAATATTAGAAGTTCAAATCTTGATCTTCCGATTGAATTTTTTTTTTTATCTAGTGGAATAAGCCTATTTCTTCACAAGCTAGCAAATTTATCCCCATCCCCGACCGACAAATTCTAGGTTTCTCCATCACTCTTAATCTTTCTCACTGTTCGACCCGTCACAAGCTAGCAAGCTTATCCCCATCCTCGACCGACATATTCTAGGTTTCTCCATCACTCTTAAACTTTCTCGGTGTTCGGCCCAAGCTCTACGACGCAAATATAATATTGAACTAAAAAACAATGTAAAGATACATACACACATACACTATTCTATATAACATATATATATATATATATATATATAGCAAATACTTTGTTTTTTTTTGGTTCCTTATGAGTTAAAACCCTTTGTTCTTCTCTCCTTTTAAAAAGTTGATTTGAAGAAACTCAATAACTACATGTGGTGAAGATGGTTGGAAGAAGTAAAGAGAGGAAGAAAGGTTGGGATAAAGCTGAGGGATGGAAAAAGCTGATCCATAAAGCTGTAATTTTTAAAGCCCATTAATTTATAAGCACAAAAGCTGATGAATCCCTCAAGCATTGTCCCATTCTCCCTCTCCTTCTCTCTCTCTCTCTCTCTTCTTTCTCTCTCTTCCCCCACCTCTTTTAATCTTCAAACCCTTTCATGAAAACCTCACCTTTTTCCCCCCATGGTGGCTGATCTCTCCTCTCTTGACCCTTTGTCTAATTGCTTTCATACCAATGGAACCAATTCCAAAAGAAAAAGACGACCCGCGGGCACTCCTGGTAAATCCTCTTCGTATCTCGATTCGATTGAATTTTCAGTGTTTTTGACCAATTGAGCTATGTTTTTGACTAATTGAGCTATGTTTTATAGACCCAGATGCCGAGGTGGTTTCTCTCTCTCCGAAAACCCTATTGGAATCAGATAGTTACGTATGTGAAATATGTCATCAGGGTTTTCAGAGAGATCAGAATCTACAAATGCATCGGCGTCGACATAAGGTGCCGTGGAAGCTGTTGAAGAGGACTGAGACGACGACGACGACGACGACGCGTAAACGGGTGTTTGTTTGTCCGGAACCGAGCTGCTTACATCATAACCCTACTCATGCTTTGGGGGATTTGGTGGGAATTAAGAAACACTTTAGAAGAAAACATAGTAACCATAAGCAATGGGTATGTGAAAAATGCTCTAAAGGGTATGCTGTTCAATCTGATTACAAAGCTCATCTCAAAACGTGTGGGACTAGAGGCCATTCATGTGACTGTGGTCGAGTTTTCTCAAGGTATTTTACCCTCTTTTATTCTTTTCTGACCCATCTCTCTCTCTCTCCCTCTCCCTCTCCCTCTCCCCTTAAATTCAACGCACAAGAAAAGATCAAACTTTTAATGGGTTTTCAGTGTTACATTAAATCTTTCATTTTTTAAAGGGAATATATAACATGGGTTTAGTTTTAAACACTATTTTATTGCTAAAACTAGGGGTGACATGACAAGAACCCAAGCCAACCCATTCCGACTTGATTACGGGTATGAATTTATTTGGGTTAGGCTGGTTAATGAGTTTTCCTAAAATTCTCAACTTAACCCAACTCAACTCATGGACACATTTAAGGAAAACATATCAACTTTCTTTCTTTCTAGGTCTAAAAAACCTACGGCTTCGACCCAACTCAACCCACGAACGCCTTCTAGCGAAAACATATCAACTTTTTTTCTGGGTCTAGAGAACCTACGACTCTAACTCAACTTAACCCATGAACACTCTAGTGAAAAGATATCAACTGACCCAGTTCAACCTACGAACACCTCTATCGAAAAGATATCAACTTTCTTTCTTTCTAGGTCCGACTCAACTCAACCCATGAATACCTCTAACGAAAAGATATCAACTTTTTGTCTTTGGAGGGCTCTCATTTCTATATACTTTTATTTTGAATAATGGGTTTTGTTTTGATTTAGGGTGGAGAGTTTCATAGAGCATCAAGATAGTTGCAAATTGGGTCATCATCAACAACCAGAAAAGGAGGCATCTTTACAACCACCACCACCACCACCACCTTGTTTATCAAGAACAGCTTCAAGCCCAACTCCAACTCCTTCTTCAGATACAAATTTCAGCTTCTTAAACCAAACCCACACACCAAAAACTCCCCAAAAACTCATCACCCATCATCAAAATTTGGACCTTCAACTTTCAACCTCTTCAAATTCCATTAAAGTTTCAGTTTCTCCAAAAAAACATGAAATTTACTCAACCCATTTGCAGCTTTCAATTGGGTCTTGCAATTATGGTGACAAAAATGAACAAAAAGATCATTACCAAATGAATTTTGATGAACAAATTGGAAATGGGTTGAATTTATTGAAGCTGAAAGAAGAAGCTATAGAGAGAATGAGAGTGGCAAGGGAAGAGAAGGCAGTGGCTGAAGAAGCAAGAAATGAAGCAAAGAAACAGATTGAATTGGCTGAGAAGGAGTTAGCCAATGCCAAGAGAATGAGACAACAAGCTCAAGCTGAGCTACAAAGAGCTCTTGCTTTGAAAGAACATGCCATCAACAAAATCAACTCCACCATCCTTCAAATCACTTGCCAAGTTTGTAGGCAACACTTTCATCCATTGCACAAAACTTGAATGTTTGCTTACCCTTCTCCCCTTTTTAATCAAACAAATTACTATTCGTTTTTTTACCTCTCGATGGTAAATCAATCCGCACGGTGTTCATGGGTTAGGTTGAAAAAAAACTTCCACATACTATCAAATATCAAACATTTACCAGTCACAATGCACCACTAATATCAGTTATAAATGTCAAATAGAGTTAGGTTGGGATGGTAGAGTTGACCAAACAAAAAAAAGTCAACCCACAGACGGATTGTTCTCAATTCTAATCTAATCGAATTCTCGGAGTGATATGGAGTAAAGTACAAATTTTGGAATTTTGAAGAAGTTAGAAGAAAGTTTCCATTAGGGAGATGAAATGATGGTCTGTTGAGAGCATTAAAGAAGGGTACAGAGCAGAATTAAAAAGAAATAGAGAGAGAGAAAAGGAAAAGGAAAAGTAAGAAAGGACTATTCTGAAATCTGAAAATCTGCAAAATCTGCAAAATCTGAATATTATGAGGGGTTGGTTTGCAAATAAATAGAAATGGAAAAAGTGCCATGTTTTTCAGTGCCACTAAGAGGATGGGGCCAACAAGAGTTAATCATAGACTCAGTGGTCATTCTCAGGGCTCTCACAAACATACAGTCCCAACCCCTATCCCTCCCTTTATATCCCTTTCAACCTCCACACATTTACTGTCATATCAGTCTCATCATCTTTTTTTTTGTTTCTTCTTCTTCTTTTCTTGAAGTTTTTAGAGCCACTTGTTCAAATATGCTTATTGGCTCACCCATTGTTAGGCCCTGAAAGGGATAGATTGTGAGATCCCACATTGGTTCGAGAGGAAAATGTTGGGAAAGCCTAAAGAAGACAGTATCTGCTAACAGTGAATTTGGACGGTTACAGTTTATTTAGTCTTTGAACTCGAAAAGATACTATCATTATGAAAACGTACATGCAATGTTACAAATTATTTGATCTCAACGTATTCTTATTCTAGAAAGGATTCAATCAAGCTTAGAGAAATGATTTGAGACGTGTCATGGTTATGCTTGTCCAAGACGTGTTATCTATGGTCGCATGTCAGATGTCATAGTCATGTTTTTCTAGAGCGTGTTGTTTGTGGTTGTATGCTTGTTCCAAACTCATTTGAGGGTATATAATTGTTTGCCAAAATCGCGTCTATACCTATCAAGAATAAAATGTTTTTTTTTTTAAAACGAGGCTGGAGGCTTGTGTATACATCACCCGAGACAATAGTAAGTAGTATGATGAAAAAATAAAATATAAAGATAATCGGTAAGTAGTTTATCTGTAAACTCTTAATCATTCTTAAGTCATATGTATTGAAGTTATATATTTTTTCAAAGGTGGCAAACTAGGTTCCATTAGCACGTTTGAGCTCATCATACGATTCGTATAAACTAGCTCATCAGAGCTCATCATTTTTCGTAATTAGCTCCTCTACGCTCATTTCAATAATGGGTTCTTGTCATATAAGCTCATCTGAGCTTATCTCTTACCGTAAGTACACTCGAGAACCTTGCTTAATCTAGTCAACTCTTTATTATTCCTTCTCATTATTTCAAATCATACATATATATATATATATAAATGAGACATGATCTTGTCATAATTTCAATTCATAGTACATATATGGATAGATTCTTACGACTCTCTAATAAGCCCCGTATAGGAGTGGTTCTTGTGCCTACCAGTTACTAGGATACCGATGTTGACCTTTACCCTTATCCAGAAGTTACGAGTCGCCAATAATTTCTTGAGCTTAGAAATTCAGATATGCCTTTTTTAAATTTACTTTTTGGTTTATTTTACAGAAGGAGTGACTTTATTGGAATCCTACTTCGAAGCATTAAAAAAGAACAAAAAGAAGAAGAAAAAGAAAGGGGTGAGAGAAGTGAGGAATCCAAGGAGGGCTTCCATCCTGAAACAAAAAGCAATAAGATTTAACCAATTATGCAAAAGAAAAAGACAGCACAAAACCAGACATAAAACACATATTCACATCACTAACCAATCTCAAATGAAACACTCAAACAAGACAGCCTTCCAGCTTGCAAATCCAACAGGAATATGTCTGCAAATTGATGCCCTTTATCTCTTCTTATAAACTAAGGTATAAAAGGAAACAAAGCAAAAACATTGTCTCAATGTAACAATCCAAGCCCATCGCTAGCAAATATTGTCCGTTTTGGCATGTACCGTGTTACCATTAGACTCACGGTTTTAAAACACGTCTGTTGGGGAGAAGTTTTCACACCCTTATAAGAAATACTTCGTTTCCCTTTCCAACTGATATGAGATCTCACAATCTACCTCCCTTAGGGGCCATCCTCCTCGTTGGCACACCACTCAGTGTCTAGCTATGATATCATTTATAACAATCAAAACTCACCGCTAACAGATATTGTCTGCTTTGATCCGTAACGTATCGTCGTTAGACTCACAATTTTAAAACGCATCTGCTAGGGAAAGGTTTTCACACCCTTGTAAGGAATGCTTCGTTTCCCCCTCCAATCGATATAGAATCTCACAATTCACCCCCTTGGGGGCTCAACATCCTCGTTGGTACACCGCTCAGTGTCTGACTCTAATACCATATTGTCTACTTTGGCTCATAACGTATGACCATTAGACTCACGGTTTCAAACGCATCTGCTAGCTTGTAGTTCCACTCAATGAGATTCCTGATCATATTTTTAGATAGCTTGGAATTTGAACAGATGCTGGATGCAGTTATTGCTACAGTTTGAGATCTTCAGCTTCTGGTTTAAGCTGTTTGCTCAGTTGTTTTTGAATTTATTCTTTATTTGTGTATAAAGTTAAGGGGGAAGCTTACTTGTAAATTCCTTTAGTTTTCTGTAAGACCCCTTTATTCTCCCTTTTGTGCACTTTGGACTACTAGTAAGTGGCTCTCATCCATTAAGGAAAAAGATTCTCTTCATGGTAACTACTCTTGTGGGTTCGTGTGGAGGGATTCGAACTTTTGATTTTATGGTCAATCTGACTACCTTCGGTCGGTAGGAAAGCCAGTGACTAGTTTCGCTATGGAGCTACGAACTCTGTTAGCACGTTGACACTCTCTCAAATGTGAGATCGCCATTGGCTTGAAGAAGAGGAACAGAACACTCATAAATGCAGTCTTTCTCTTATATACGATACCAACCGACGCACCTTAGTACTTGCAGATCAAGGCTATTGAAAGTGTGAGATCCCACGTCGATTTGAGAGAGGAACGAGTGTTAGCGAGTATGCTAGGCTCTGGAGGGGGTGGATTGTGAGATCCCATATCGCGGTTGGAGAGAGGAACGAGTGCCAACGAGGACGTTAGGCCCGAAGGCCCGAGGGGGTGGATTGTGAGATCCCACGTCAGTTAGAGAAGGAACGAAGCATTCTTTATAAGAGTGTGAAAATCTCTCCCTAGTATACGAGTTTTAAAAACTTTGAGGAGAAGCTTGAAAAGGAAAATCCAAAGAGACAATATCGATCAGCAGTGGGGATTGGGCTATTACAAATGGTATCAAAGCCAGATACCCTGCAGTGTGCCAACGAGAACGCTGAGCCCCGAAAGGGGGTGGACACCAGGTGGTGTGCCAGCGAGGATGCTGGGTCCTGAAGGGGGCAGATTATGAGATCCCACATTGATCGGAGAAAGGAACGAAACATTTTTTATAAGGGTGTGAAAACCTCTCCCTAGCAAACACGTTTTAAAAACTAGGTTAAGCCCAAAAATGACAATATCTGCCTGCGACGAGCTTAGGCGGTTACAGAAACAGTCCTGACTCTAGAACAAAGCAAGGGATTGAGCAGTACGAAACCCGTCAAAGATCACAGTAATAAAAGCAGTAATTTATAAGAAAGCATTGGATGGTAGAACACCTGGCCATCACCATTCAACCATTGTCCTTTGATTCTGTAATAAGGCTGAACATTCCCTTCTATACAGGGCAAGACATCAGCAATTTAAACCAAAACAAAACTCAATTCTCATTTGCTTCTCATTTTCGTAACGCCCCATGCCCACATGGGGTGCTCGTATTCAAATTCGATATCTAATGGCTCTAGCATGAGGCGTTATGAATGGTATTAGAAAAGAATCTCTATCACTAGAATGTGGTTCGGGCAAACCAAACGAAAGTTGGTGAGCATGAAATGTCTAAATGAGAGTGATCATGAGTGGCAATAATGGGTCAAAGGAGCCTTCCTCGTCCCTACCCGTGACATAAGTGGCAAGAATGTGAATTGAAATAAATAGCAGGGACGGATTGAAGTTAAGTTGATATACATAATTACGATATTACATTACAACAAAACGTCGTGTAGCATACACAAATTACACAAGAACTTTATACGAACTCGAGAGAGAGAGAAACAAAAACGAAGCTTTATACCTCTCGATTAATTTCTGATCCAAACCCGTTCGTACTTCTTGGAAACCCTACCTCCTATGCTCTTCTGAAACAACAAATTATCATAATCATAATCTTAGAATAAACAATGATACTGAAAATTTTGGATACAATAATTACACTATAGTATAGTTAGGCAGTAAATTAAATCCAAATTTCATAACATATGCTTTTCTTTTGGGTAATGCTTGCATGTGAGACTATATGTTAAAAGCTGTTTATCATTAATTTCAAGGGGAAATGACATAGAAAAAGACTACACTTCTGGTATGCCACTTACCTTATCATCATTATCCAACCCTTTTATTTTCCCTTATTTTATTATATCTAAGCTTCCATAACTCGGAAAGTCGAGTTATTTTAGTCACCTATGTCCAGGGTTTGGATTCCGAATTCAGTACTTGTGTACCCGATATCCCCACAAACCAACACGAGTTCTTTTGACATGCTTTGTGACTATCCCCACTAACAAACATGAGTCATATCAGCATGTTTTGTGTCCCCACAAACAAACACGAGTCATTCCAGCATATTTTGTTCTTACTCACATGTATCTTAGAAAAATTTACAAGAGATCATCCAACATGTTTTGTTGGGACACAAAACATGATCTCTTGGAAAATTCCAGCATGTTTTGTGTCCCCACAAATAAACA